GTGACTCCCCTACCCTTCGAATTGTGTTTTCTCTTCTCTACGATCAGCTGAGAAGCTTCTCTTTAGAAAATCATTAGTTTTCTTTGATTAGATTAGTTTGTTGCCCTTTGTGCGTAATGAAAGTATTTTTTATATCAGTCAGGTTTTCCGAGATTAAGAAATGCGCTTGAAAGCGATAATTACAGGTTGCACTACTATTGTGCGTAAACTGCTAACGATGTTGATATTCGCATAGATTTCCATCATTGCAATTATAATTATGCCTGTAACTTTCCAATCGCATTACGGCAAAACGAAACATATTACAAATTCTGTAAGGGGAAATTATTATCAATATAAAAATTGTTATATAAAGATATGTAATATAAAATATTTATAAATATGTAGATTTCTTTTTATGCTTAGCAAAATACACAAATTAGATAACTTATCAAATAAAATATGAGATACAGAAAAAGATACGTGGTATATGGATATACATATAAGTAGGACAAAGCGAATATTTTCAGATAATTTATGGTTATACATTAATAAAAACATATTAATTATATTAAAAAAGAGTATTAAATAAGACACATTATTATGTTCATATAAGTGAAGGTTTAATATATATTACTTTATATTATATTCTTTGTCTATACTCTTAATTATTAATACTCTGAAGTATTAGTAATGAAATATTATTAAGCTGATAACGGTGATCCTACTTAAAATAAGTAAAGCATCTTTGTTGATAATGTCGTTATCTAAATAGAGAAAGATTAAAATACGATGTACACAAGCATATAATAAATATAATTAACTTTACTATTCATTAAAGATATCCGTTTGATAAATCGATGATTTTTCTATCACTTTTTAAAAATTAAAGTCACGCAAAGGTCGCAATCATTAAAGTAAAACCGAGCCAAGCATCATGAATCTCCTTAATTGCAATCCAGGTCGCGAGACGGGTAAAAATTAAAAGATGCCGATCCTGTATGCTGCTTTTGCTTCCTGGATTCCTGGAAGGTATAGTATAAACAGACTTGTGCTATTTTTTTCAGAGACAAAATAATATCATCCATGTATAAAGAATTAATTATTTTAAATATATAAAAAACTCTTTATTTATTACATACAATTTTTTATGGGACGAAATGGAATTAATTCTTGGAATTAATTTACCAAAAGAAATAGCGAGTGTGTCTGGAATGTATGAGCGATCGATCATTTTTAACATGTTTCTCTAAAATGATATAATTTTACCTAGGTATCATATAAAATATTTTCTGCATCGCGACACAATGCACTGTCGTAACAATTTATAGAGGTAAAAAGATTATTCCTCGTGAATTTATTGACCTGCATCTGTAGTAAATATATGATAAATGTATAACTGTTTTCGTTTGAAAAGTATTTTCACTTTTTTTATACGCGCAAGAGTCATACGTTGGCGATATTTGCCAAGTCGTGATAATGTTAAGGGTGACACACTATCCTATCTTTCTTTCGTGTCCTATTCAGTTATCCCATATCTTTGACTTAGAGATTTTCGATTTGGACAAGCTCCAAGAGAGACGAATTGGACGGATTCTTTGATGTGACGCGTTTTCCACTGCTCTTTATCCCAGAGGAAGTTTCTTCGTCGATTTCTATCGATTGAAGAAATACTGAGAGATAAAGTAGTGTCATTGTTAAAGAATGATGTCTCCGATTGCAAATTTATGTTTGCCGATCGTCTCGGAAAAATTAACATTTGGCAGCGCTCGTTGAAAAAATTCTCACGAGCGTAAATCTTCAGACAACCTCAGTGACTGAGATTCGACTCGTCGCTTGACCGTGAACCTATTGTACGGTTGATGCACTGCGCAGAAAAGAAGAAGTGCGAAACACAATGATCGTCTGACGTGTCACTCGAGACAACTCCTCGGATCCTTTTGCGTGCTTCGATATATAATCGCAGCTGCTAGCGATATATATTTAGATTGAAACAATAGTTTCTTCTCCATGTGCACACATACTTGTTCGATAGATTAAGCGGATTGGTCTCTCCATATAAGATTTTAAATCGGTCGGTAAACCGATTGAAATTCAACGTCGTCGAAGCCTTGTCTTAATTAGAACTCTCGGCGGCCTTTGTTCCGTTTGTGAATCATCGCGAACGAATTTTTGTGCGCTTTCTAGTCGTGCTTTAATGAGCTAATACTCTGTATATTTTTAAGTTCCGTGAGAGCACTAATGAATATTTATAACTGAAGCGATTCATGTACAATTATTTTTTCGCGAGTAATATTGCGTAAGTAATTGATACATCATATAAGATACTGAAGAGATAAATTACTATCTATTGATGATAAAACTGTTGCACGATAATATTCACAATATGCTATTTATTTCTATTCAACTAGAGTGCCTGTAATATTTTATATTGTAATGTTTTATTTAAACAGAGAGTATCTTGTAACATTTAAAAAGAAATGTTCTCTTTCTCTCCCCCATTATATTAAGCGAACTGGATAGTCTATTTGAGGAAAGCAATTTAATTAGGTCGTGTCGCACGGTTATACACTCGGATAGAAACACGTTATATGTAACACTAAACAACCTTGATTCTCGCTTAGTTTCGCTCCAGATCGTGTCAAACGTTCAACTTCTACGCTACGCATTATCCTTCAACATACACATACATATTTTTAAATTAGCTTTTATTAAATATTACGATGAGTACTCTCAGTGACACAGAGTAAAGTTGAGATATTTACTCATATTTTTATATATTATAATTTTGTTTATTCTTGTATTTTATATATTAATTTTATTTATTTGTATATTTCAGTGGTGAACGAGTGTTGAGGTCTCGTCAGCACGAGCGTGGCACCAGCCAGGAACGTCGGTACAAGCGCAGCCATCGTCGATCACCCAGCAGCGGTAGGCAACATGGTCATCGCGATCGTGATCGAGATCGTGCTCACCTAGCACATCCCACATCGTCCCGACGTACGCGCCTTCACCGTCATCATGGCTCGTCGTCGGCTAGCCAGGAGCGTCACCGTCATCGATCCCCGTCCACCAGGAGTCAGGTGAGTCCGAGGGACAATACGGCACACGTATTGGCATCAATATTACGCGTTCCTTCTCGCCACTGTATAATGTACTGCGCGCCGCGTGATACAACGACCAGTTCGAGATTCGATCATACCCCTAACCCTACGAAAACATACACGATAGCAGAAGACGCTTTTGTACTCTGTCGTACTCTTATCGACGATTCGTTATCGGGAAAAGTCTCATTTAATAAATATTCGTTATATACGAAAAGCTTATATCTTGAGTTCATGTCTAAAAAATGGCAATTATGCATTATAATATACTCTTTCTATAGTTTTGTAACGCAATCTTATTTTTTTTTTTTTTCCAAATACGTATATAAAATGACTTTGGAAACCATTTCTTTATATGCACATACGCGGGACATATTTTCTTTGAATGATCTGGAAACTCTCACGGCAAACTTTAATAACGCTTGGACGGATTTATTTTTCCAGTTAATATAAGCATTACTCTGTATATATGTTTTGTTCAAACTTCCGTTGTGTATTAGATTTTCATACCGTTTATCAATACAGACTCTTTATGAAGCCTTTAAAGTGGATTTTATCACTGCGAATGTTATTATCGTAAAATTTCATAGTATAAACTTATTCTCTATGCACGTGCGGATATGATGACGGTAGATATTTTGAATACTCATACTATTTATTAAGCTTCGAGTAAATGATAATAGTTCGTGTATGAGCGTGAATGTACAATGATGAATCGTGAACGAGAAGATTTGCAAAGAGTTGAATCGATCAGTTTTTAAGCTGTCTTCTAATAATGGAGAGTCCAACTCTTCTTGACGATATTAAACGTCCGAATTAGTTTTTGATAGTCTACTTATCGAGCCTCGTTGCATAGCAGAGGTCCTCTGATGTGAAGACATGCAGCGAGTGGAATTAGCGGCATCGAGTTAGCGCTCCACCAAGTGAGAACAGTGCCTGGAAATTCTTGCGGTGCAACGGGTACGCCGCGTGTATATCCAAAGCGAATGCCGATGATTCTTCTTTCTTACTTGACGCCGGCTATTTTCGACCGGCGACTATTTTCGAGGCGGACTCGTCACGCGGTTTCGCTTCAGTTTTAGTGCGAGTTTGCGCCAGATGGCCAACGCAACATCGTCGCCGCCGCCGCCGCCGTCGTCGTCGGAAAACATTGTACCGGCAGATAAGCCGGTTCAAAGCGATCGTGAGGACGACGATTCGCCAAAAAGCATAGTATCACGATGAGGGCGAAGGTTTTATCTTCGAGTTTCAATTTGAACGCAACGTTTCGATGGGAAGTCATCGATATCGAAAACATCTTTGTATCTTAATCAGAGAAAGTTCGAGGATCTATTCTTTTGGATTTAAAAAGTGCTTCAAAAGTAACGAACTATGGAAAATTGATTCGTTCAATACTAGAATATATTGAAGTAGAATCGTGTCGATTCCGTATCATCGCTGTGATTGAAGAGCCTATCCGGCGACCCAGAATTGTTCAACCTGAATTTAGAAATACGCGCGTTGCAGTTGGCACAAGATGTGCTTGTGAAATGCGACGCGAGGTGCCCGGGTGAACCATATATCTCTCTCTCTCTCTCTCCCTCTCTCTCTCTCTCTCTCTCCCTCTCTTCTCGCGCATATCGTCAACCTGGATTCTGGAAGTTGGATCGCGTTCGATGGCGACGGCGGCGGCCTGGCCGACCATGGTAGTCTATCATCGGCCGCGTCATCGTCGACGTCGTCCTTCCAGACAGTGGCAAATCAGGAATTAAGTTTGCTGATGCCTTGTGGAAGCGTATCCTGGTGGCCGCGTCACGATTGGGACACATGGTTGCAGCGCAATGTCATCGAGACCACGAGAGAATTTGACGCCAAACTTGACGTCACGCCCGAAACTAACGACACATCGACTTCCGAGGTAGCATCGACACTAGAGACCTTTGTATGGCTCCACGATCTTCGATGTTATTTACTCGCTAAAGTGTGTGTGCGCATTGTCTATGCTCGATGTCTTTACGATCGCATTTATTATCGCTTCAGACCTCTATTCTAATCCCTTTCCCTGTTGAATTTAGAGGATTTAGCATTATCTCTAGAAATCTATTATTTTTATCACTAAAGAAATTATTGGATAGGAAGAAAAAAATTAGCAATGAACACGCGAGAAGATGGCAGGATTTTTTTGAGCTGTAATTTTCTTTTTTAATTATGAAATATTAAAATACTATTTTTCATCAGTTTCGACATTAAGGATTATGGTTTTATTGAAATCTTTTCAACAGCTTCATAAATGTGGAATGTTTGATGTGCGGATAACTCGATGAATTAGACTCGTATCTTCCTCGGTGAAAAGGTTAACATTTACAGAACGTACATTTCTGTTGGCCATCCGCCATGCAGGCAACAGCGGTGACACGATGCGAACCTCGGGCTGATTAACCGCAGCCAACCAGGACTTTAACATTTAAACACGGCGTGCCCTGACGGCAGGTTCTCATCTTCTCTACGCGTGACGATCGTGGCGCACGCGTTTCGGACTGCCGATTTATATTTGGCATAGCTCGTTCTCGCGAGGATGACGACGAAACTCGGAGAACGAAGCGAATGCTCCAGAGCAGAGCGGCCCTCTTCTCCCCTCCCCTTCCCTCTTTCCCCCTATTTACCCCTCCTACCCCGTTTTTAACCCGATAGTATGGCCTAACCTTGGTTAATATTTTCTAGTGGAGTAGGGAGCGGAAGAAACACACGCGTAACTTTCCGTTGCGACGTCGATCGTTGCTTCCGTTATCGCAACGCGAGCAACCTAATGGAGGAAAACTTGTCATCGTCCAGCACTATATGATTCATTGAGTAATACATAACATAAGAACACAGCGATAACGATACGATCTATGCTTTGTATTCCTCTTGCGTTTTGCATTCGCACGGATATTCAATTTTGCTTCATCTTCAGAATTATTTGTGTAATATGGTATTTTAACAAAAATTTAATACTTAATTTTTTTCGTCTTTATTCTCTTTTAAATAACATGTCTGTATTTTCAAATATTCTGATTTCTAACTCGAGCCAAATTAATCAGAGTCTCTTCGCTAGAAAATATTTTGGAGATGATCTCTGAGAAACTGATGTGGGCGAGCAATCCGCGCGAATAAATTGCGTCGCTATTTTCTAAACTGCGTGTATTTATATCGATACTCTTAAAATCTACGCGATACATGATAGGGTAATATCTTTGACATCGTGACCTTGGAGACAACTCGAGTTTTATTAATAGTATTAGAGTCCACGAACTTGTCTACCAAACTGTTAATCAAGCCCTTTTAATTTTAGCTAGAAACTCTAAATTCATGATATTTATCTCGATGACTATACCTTATCCTATTTATCTTTAAATTAATTTTGATTTTTTTAAGATCATGTTTTACTTATTTTATATAATCTTATTTTCATTTGATGATCTTGACTATTTTTGATGATAGATATTAATAGTTATCTTCATATCGTACATCATGTAACTTTTATTGGCCTTATATAATTTTTATGCAATATAAGATTTCTCTTCTATGCTATTTTGTTTTTAAAAAATCTAAAAATTTTTTTAAATTCAAACCTGATGGAAACACTAGTCGTACGCAGAATCTTTTTAGATCATCTCTGAAAGTTCAGTTGCATCTTTCGTTGTTCGTTATCGAAGCGAACGAGAGCGAAATCCCGCGAAAAAAAAAATCTTTGAAGCGACTTAATAAATCCATATAGATGATTATCTAGTTTCTCATTTTTATCTCTTGTATATCTTTTTGTCCATCTCTTTGTCATTTCTCGTCATTCTTCGCGGAAGAGACTAGCTTCACGCATAAACATATTTAGTCGTATCTGGTTATCATTCTAATACATATAGCATCTATGTTCAAAAAAATGCCAACTATTGAATGTGGCCAATATTAGACCGATATCTCAAGCAGACCTACATCGCGGCGTGTTTCGCAATTTCTATGTGTGTCAAGGTACGAGAACAAGCGACGCGGTTCACCGCGTGGAAAACGCGGCACCGTGCGCTCGTTTTCCCGTAAAAATGCTTTTCGTGGACGGACGAGTTCTCCCCCTTCATCGTGCATCAGGAAACAACGTCGTGACTCGATCGGAACTTTGGCGCGTTCCGAATAAGTGCAAGAGAATTTACGTAATACTACCAGTGGTGATCCCTTCTCTTCTGTTTCGCCTCTCTTCTTCTTTTTTCCACCTGTATATCTCGCTTCGTCTTTCTCTATTTCTGTTTCGTCCGTCTCTCTTTCGTTTGCGATCGCGCGTGCGAGTTACGCTAATCGCGCCTCTCTTCGTCGCTCCGTTTTCTGATCGCTCTCGCTTCTCGAGAGAGGAGGATGAATCGTTCTCGTCAGAGCGGGCTCACCATTGCTCCCTGGTATTTTTAGTGCGACGAGAGAGTATTTGGCGGGGCGCAGCGAGTGTTTCGTCTCCTTCTCGTCGTCGTCGTCGTCGTTGTCGTCGTCTCCCTGACCGTTGTCGTGGTCGCAGTTTGGTCGCCCTCCTCGGCATATCGTTCTCTCGCGCGAATCGGCGTATTCCCGCCTTCCCGTAGAGTGATGTACTTGTGTAGAGAATTGTTTCGTCAGCCTCGGTGGTGTCTTCGAGCGGCTGTCGCAGCCGCTCCTCTCATACGACTTAGTCGCCAAAGTTTGAGCTGAGCTCGCCTCGTTGAGATCCGTCAGAGACGATCTTTCGAGTATCCGATTAACGATTTTCATAATCCGGGAAATCGATTCGACAAGATTTGCGATTCGACCGCAAAGGAGCTGTTATAGATGTTCATATTCGCACCGCGCGATACCATGTCGACCTCCCGACAGAGCTCGGCCCCGCGGCGAAGTCGCTACGGGCGCTCGTCCACCACGACGAGCGTGACCCAGCTGCTGAGCGACTCCTGCACGAGTCTTCTCCAGAAATTGACCACGCGAGTGCGTGGAACGTCTGCGCTCAACGATCGCGGTAGATCGCCCAACATTGGCCGATTGCGAAACACGCGGAGCCGTTTGGAGGACAAGTACAATACGATTCTGGACAAGTATTCCGGCAAGAGACCAGCCGACAATTCGGAGCAGAATGTTCGCAGTTATTCGCGAAAGGAGCGTGATCACAGCTATTATCATCGGGATGACAGTCCGTTTGTACGCGACGACAAGACCCTGGAATCCTCGATGAGCCGTAGCATCATTAAAAGTCCCACCAGCGTGCTTCTTAGCGAGAAGGCTTATCCCTACGTGAGTTCCGCGAAGAGCAGGGAACCCAGGCGGGAGAAGACACCTGCCTATGGCCGTATGGATCGTACGCATATTCTGCTAAACTCAGAAGCTTATCATCACTACGGCAGACATAAGTCCGGACACGCGGAAACGCGCAGTCGGAAAGTTAGACCGCATCGAAAGGGTAAGAGCGAGCAGTTGGAAGCTCACTCAACGTATCTAAGATTGTCCCGACCGATCAAGATCGAGCCGTTCGAGGACGACGAGGAAGTTGCGGTGGATCCGGACAAAACGCCAATCGCCAACAGCAACACAGACAATGAGAGCGTCGCCAAAAATATCGCGTTGACGGCGGAGGATCCGGCGATCTCGGATAGAGCGGTCAAACGCAAGGAGATCCAAAGTTTGATCCTGAAGTACGCCGCTATGGAGGATACTTACAGCCAATTGGCGTCCGCCGGACAAGCGACGAACGTACGTCCCAGTACGACGGACCTCATCGCCAGCAAGTACAGAAGGAGCAATCATTGTAACAATGAGAAGGACAACCCGTCCAAGAGCACGGTAGCGTCGAACACGATTAGCGAGATGGATGCAATCCACGGCGCGATCGTAAGTTGTCGAACCACGCGTGGCCCGGGTTTCCGCGAAAGCGGCGTCTCGTTTTAAACAGAGCGTGTCAGTTGCCGCTGTTGTCTTGCCTTCCGCAATATTTATATCAAGATTCAGTTCACTTATCTGATGATTTAATGGATCGGACAACGTTTCCCCAACACGATGACTCAATATCCACGACTGATACTGACGCGCGCGTTCGTACCAATTGGAAAATTGGTTTTTAGTATGATTTTCGCATTAATTAAAAATGTAACACGCGAATGTATTCCAAATTATTCATTTATTTCGATGATTATTGATGACGTGTCGAAGACTACGAGAGAGTACACGGTTCTACTTCTCTTCTTCGGATATCTTTCGTTTTATTCTACCGTACGTAGAAGTGACTAGCGATCCGGTTCGCGCGTGTTTGTGCTTTCGATAAGGTAGGGTCGAAACGCCGATCGCCAACGGTTTGCGGCAACGGTCGCGCCCCATGAAGATCGAGAAACAATCTAAAGATAAATTTAATCGATCATCGTGGAGCAACCGTTCGCCGAACTAGCACGTAAGTACTTGATTGACGGAGTTTCTGTCTTTCTCTATCAAGCAATTAACAAATTTAATAAAGCTATATACCATCTCTGAACGTGTTAGATGAAAGGTAACGTGTCACGAGCACTTCGAAGAAGCTGTCCGGTCTCGTTCGTGTAAATTTGTCTTTTTCCTTTTTCTTTTTTTTTCGTTTTCCTTTTTTCGTCATATTTATTTATCCTCCGTCGAGATTGGGTAAACGTGTGGAGAATAATTCGTTCGCAGAATAATCGCCGATCAAATATAGTAAAGATGCATTATATAATATATATATATATATTTAAGAATGTGCATTCGTGGTCATACGAAGTGCTCTGACCTGTAGAGCGTGTGTGTTGAGACGGCTCCTTCAAAAGGCACGCTATACCAGGTCTAACACGAGTATAACGAGTATAGGTGAGCGAGATTTAAAAAAAAGAAATGAAAAAAAAACGGATAAGTAATTAAAATAGGAAAACCCGACTACCCCGTGAAAAACTAATGCAAAAAAAAACGGATAAAATACTGAAAAACGTAAAAAATAACGAAAAAAGAATACATAATTATATGCGCTTTGTGCCGATGGTAAATTCGTAACCGCAACTTTCTGACTTGGCAAACCATTTTGCCCTCTCCCCTTTCTCTCTGATTGTTGGGTTACCATCTCCGTTGTAATGGAATGGAATGGAACGCGGAATGGAAACACACGGAATGGATATGGCACACACGACGGATGATCGGTCACGGTCTCGGACTCGGGTGGCGTCTCTCTGTCTTTCTCTCTCTCACAATGACGATGGGTGATGACTGCGCGAACGGTGTTATCCTACCCTCCTCTACCCCCACCGACACACTCGTACGTTCGTCCCGTGCTTACACACGTGTTCTCTACCGCGTGTTACACGGGTCTCGTCGCCGGGATTCCGCGGTGGTGGGTGGTGGTGGCGGTGGATGACACAAACACGGCGGTGCGATCGGTTGACGACGCGGCTCTTGGATACACCTTCGGCCCCCCCTTGCCTGGACATTGGACGGATGATGCGACCATCGGCGACCATCGGCGACCGCTCAACGCTCCCGGATACACTACTCCACTTCCGGCGCGACCACGTCTCACCACATTACCGAATCGGGCCGACGCGAACACGGGGGTACCGAATTGGGTCCACTCACTTGGCACGCGCCGATACCGATACCGCCGGCCCGAATAGAGCCCACGAGCGCCTTCCGTCGAGGACGACGAAGACGGCCACCTTGTATACCAATCCGGCGACATCCTGGCAAATAGATGTTCGTGATTATATAAATACACTCATTGTAGTAGATTTAAGCAAGTCTCAGATCGATTATAATCGATCGATCGGTATCTACGGTATCTGCCCCTACTCTTTTTCTCTCTTTCTCTCTCTCTCTCTCTCTCTTTCTCTCTTTTTTTCACTTTCTTTCTCTTTCACTTTTCCCCGCCTAATCTATATAGGCATTATATATTATATGAAACAATATCAACACTATAACAAAAGTAACACAGTTTACGCGTTAATCGCATTATGTCAATGTTCTCGCTGTTCAACATACGCATATACGCGCATATATAGATATATGCTACGTATAATGGAGAACATTCACTCGCGTACTAATATATACGTTTGTATAGACACGGTTAGCGCGGTTTTCTCTGACTAGATCGAAAAGATTCTACCCCGTCGATTTTACCGTATCACTTTTCCGCTAATGCGGGATACGCGAAGAGCAACAAAAGAAATAATAGTCTCTCTTTTTGTCTGTCTGCCTACTTGTACATACGATTTATTTCAGAAAGATAAGCAACATGCATATATAGTCACCACGTCTCTCGATAGCACGATGACGAAGCTCGTCAGCTCGACGACGATTATCGGGAAATAGCCGCAAAAGATTTCTTCTCGTTCCTTTCGCTGACGAATTGCAGTATCTCGCGGTTCTCTTGAGCGTGATGATGATTTGGAGACAGAGAGTCGGAGAAAGGGAGCAGAGATAATTTAAAAAAAGAAAAGAAAGAAAAACTAATCGCTTGCGCTATCTCCTCGATACGTCCTCTTCGGGATGACGTGTTTCTCGCTCTTATGATACTCACGCGTGCGCGCGAGGACATCCGGCATTCACTTTCGCGCTCCGAAACGAAGTCTCGTCTCTCTCCGCGAGACCGTCTTAATTAATTAATTAATACCTGTGCAACATGCATCATAAACAATAAAAACGAAAGAAGAGGAAAAAGCTCCCTTTCATCTCGATGGACAGTGAATGCCGTGCCCCCGCGCGTTCGTCGAAACTGTCAAGCTGCTATCTACCCCCGTTCACGGGGATCTTTTAGGCGAGCAGCATTCCGATCGATATCGTTTAAAACTCTACGACTCTTCGTTTATTCATTATTCCGTTTATCACCGTAAACCGCGATACATACACGATTAATAAATATAACGCACCGATTGGCCGAGCGTCCGCGCGGAGGAGTCTCACCCGCGTTTCTTTTCCTTCTTCTCTTTTTTTTTCTCTTTTTTTTCTTTTTTTTTTCTTTTTTTTTTCTTTTTTTTTCTTTTTTTTCCACGACGGTTTTCCCCGGAGCGGGGAAAGCCTTGTTTTCCCTTAAAGAGCGACGGACGTAGGGTACCTTTCCGGCGAGCGAGAAGGTACCCCTTGCCCAGTCAACGCCGGACGAGCACTCCCCGCGACAGTCGCGAGGCCTGTATCCGCCGGACATTTACCCTTGTTTTTGCATTGCAGATAAAGTACTGGCCACCCTAGGAGAGGGTACTTTTGGAAAAGTTGTCAAGGTTAAGGACTTGCAAATGTAAGTGCCAGTTCAAGTACGTAAGATATAGTCTATTTCGCGCGCGTCTGCACAGCTTTTTCTCTGTTTGATCTCTATGTCTATCTGATCGTTTATTTATTTCTATATTCTATCTGTCTCGCTCTCTCTTTTGCGTTTACCATTTTGGATCTGTCTCTCTCCTCCTACGCGTCATCTCATCATTTTGCATTGAGGAAAATTCTCCAAATGCGCGCGTTTGCGACGATTCGTCGCGAGTGTTGTCGGCGGCAAGAGCAGAAATAGCTATCCCGCACTGTCACACAAAATGACGCGCGAGTGGTCGCAATAATAGGATGGCCTTGCACTTTGTTTTACGGGCCGAGCGCGTTTCACGACGAGCCGCGAATTAGATCTCTTCTCTTTAGCGGAATATGTAAAATTACGGGCGAAATGCCTAGATCGTTGCAAATATTTTATTCCCACGCTTTATCCTCATGGGACGCTGGATTTGAAACGATGACGACATACATATATATTCAGATATTATGATCATTGTGCGATAAATATTGTAGGGATCACGTGATGGCTCTAAAAATCATTAAGAACGTGGAGAAGTACAGAGAAGCGGCAAAATTGGAGATAAACGCTCTCGAGAAGATCGCCGTCAAGGATCCGGAAGGCCAACAGTTGGTATCTTTATCGTTTGACTCGTCTTTGGGTAGTTTTGGCGACAGAAAGTTACGCAGTGTTACTTTCTTTTTAACTTGTCTGCACAAATCTACGCAAGCGAGGATATCTTTTTATAATTTTATTCTAAATTTTATAAATAAGATGATTAATTATTGGCAGATGACTAATTATCGATCGTTTTTAGCTTGTGCGTGAAGATGCTCGACTGGTTCAATTACCACGGGCATATGTGTATCGCGTTCGAGATGCTGGGTCTGAGCGTTTTTGATTTTTTGGTAAGCATCCATCTCCGAACACTGACTCTGAAATTTATGGACGAATCTGAGATTCTTGATGATGTTATTTTGGTTACAGAGGGACAACTGTTATCAGCCGTATCCATTGGAGCACGTCAGGCATATGGGTTATCAACTCTGTTACGCTGTGAAATTTTTGCACGACAACAAACTCACGCACACGGATCTCAAGCCGGAGAACATCCTATTCGTTGATTCGGATTACGATAGTACATATAATAACAAAAAGGTGTGCTATTGTCGATAACGGGATATTAAAATTATTATTAGACGGTCAAAACTGAAAATTCGGCGTTTAGGGTAAACTTTCATTCTAAAGTGTTTCAAAAAAAGATCTTTCTTTTTAAGCGGAGGGACACGAGACGCGTGAAACGAACCGACATCAGACTCATCGATTTCGGTAGCGCCACTTTTGATCATGAACATCACAGTACAATCGTAAGCACGAGACATTATAGAGCGCCTGAAGTAATTTTAGGTAAGTGTATCTTTCTTTTAAGATTTTTTTGATCTTGGACGTACATTATATATATTATTACACATAAATCAATCTTTCTGTATTTTACAGAATTGGGTTGGTCTCAACCATGCGATGTCTGGTCTATCGGCTGCATCCTGTTCGAGTTATACCTGGGCATCACGTTATTCCAGACGCATGATAATCGCGAACACCTAGCAATGATGGAACGCATACTCGGCACGATACCACATCGTATGGCCCGCAAGACTAAAACCAAGTACTTTTATCATGGCAAACTAGATTGGGACGACAAGAGCTCGGCCGGTAGATACGTCCGAGATAACTGCAAACCGCTGCACGTTAGTATTTTTATTGGATTTGAATTAAGCATTAAAATTGAATTTGCGTATTAAAGATTAAAATTTTATCAAAGAGAATATGAAAAGATTTTGAGAATGTAGATTAAAATTTATCCAATTAGCGATCGAATAAATCTTCAATCATAACGCATTAATTCAGACATTACATCCATGTGTAATTCAATACAGGCCTTGAATAATATCGTAAAATGATATATGTTTCTCTGTTATAGCGTTATATGCTATCCGACGACGAAGAGCATCGTCAGTTATTCGATCTCGTTCAGAGAATGCTCGAATACGAACCCTCGCAGCGCATCACCCTGAAGGATGCATTGACGCATCAATTTTTCGATGCTCTGCCGGCGTCACAGAGATTGCCCGATCCACGTGCGGCTGGTGACTCTCAACAGCCCCACGAAAGATCACATTCACTCTCTCGATGAAGCTAGGAAAGGGACCGACCTCCGTGCTGGACAGACACTCCGCTTTCAACGACACTACTGCCCTACGTCTTTGTTCTGGTATCATTAATTTTCATGAAAACATGTCTCTTTCGTAGCAACGAAACCCGATGACGTGAAATGAGTTGCGAGCATTGAATACGTGCTAAGAGATAGCACGTATATGTATAAGTATGTGTCTGCGCGCAGGCGTGCGCGTGTATAGATACCGATCATTGGATTTTCTCACAACTTTTGATCCCCGCACTCAATGTAACTTGAATCTATACGTAGGAAAGACTGTAATGCGCAGCGGTGCCGTGGAACTTGGACTTAATTCGAGTGCATTCAACGTCAAGCGACGATTACTTCAGCGAAGATTACTTCTCGTCGCTGATGGTTACGTCTGTCTGTTTCTATCGCGATTATCGATCATCGAAATGGCGACATATGGTCCTCGTTACTGGCATGGATAGGCCAGTGTGTCTGCTCAGTGTAGCGTAACAGAGTCCCGCAATTTTAAGCAATTTTTTAAATGCTCTTCTGTACATTTGTGTCTCTTAAATTTATTACCATGTTAATATGCGACAAAAACGCAAAGTTTGGAGTATAAAGATCACCTTTGGGTCCGCAATTTATAATATACTATTCATTATAAATTGACGACCACGGATGTGTTCTAACCGTAAGTAACGGTATCCTATAGCGATATAGTTTTAAACGACAGTAAAGTTGATTAGAATCGAGAGAAAACGAACGAGCGAGCGAGCGGGCGAGAGAGAGGGAGTGTATGAGTAACAATCATCACTTTCATCGTTGTGAATTATATACATCTTAAAACATAAGAATACATAATTATGTCTTAGAGAATGTTCTCTCAACGATTCTTCTTTTTTTCTTTTTTTTTTTTTTCGTATTTGAATATGGAGCCCATTTGAAGTTTCTGATGCGTAAAAGAGAATTCTTCTTCGCGACATATTTATAACGATTTTTCATGCTCTAATCATCTTTAAGTTTCCGGCCTAATAAAACAAAAAATTTCGTATTTTATATTCTATAAATATTATATATTTCACGAAGATTTAATTTAAATCGAAAAACGTATATTGTGAATATTACAGAAACATTGGTGTGTATTGCGCACGCGAGAACCATCCCGTTCCCATTTTTTTTCGTCACATTTGATTTACACAACTCGTGTCATCCGTATAAGTTTTGTTTGACCTTAGTTATACTGTATCTACGAAATGAAGGATGTTATATACCTGCTGCTCGTGTTAAACGGGGTATATTTACTTCTGCAAAACAGCGATATTCCGAGTAGCAATAAATACACTTCTTTCAAACCAGCGTCGATATTTATTTGTGTTCAACCAGCAAATCAATTCTTTTACATATTTCTTGTATATTTATACCTTTAAATAATGTTGCTTCGCTTCTTTGAATCCGTTTATCGCCGTGACATTTTGCGTAACTTCTCTTCTTTTTTTTCTTACAAATTAGTTATATATTCTACTAGTACGCGATGTTTGAAATAAAATAAAGCCCGATCAACAGGCTTTAAGGAAACAAGCAAAATTTGTCTCCCCTTGAACGTTTATGCAAAGTCTTCTTTTTCGTGGACCCAAAGTAATTGTGTGCAAGAAATAAATCTTGATCTAATTAACAAAGGTAATTATAGCTTAGGCCACGGGTAAATCGGTGGTATAGACGACTTATAGCTCGTATCGTACAATTGCGCCTTAAGAAAGCTCTCGCAATCTTTAGGCTCTGGATGGATAGTCGCGATGCCTAAAAAAGAAGAAAGAAGCATTTGCATATAACGCGTATACACCAGTGTTTGTACAACATATTTCTACTCACAGTTCTCGTAGGCATATTTCATGAGTGCGCACGCTATATTCATCGAGCATTTCTGTATGTCCTGTAATGGCGGATAAAGGTTTCCGCTGTCCAAATCCGTTTGCGTTACCAAGTCGGCGAGAGCCGACGCAGCGATGAGGAAGGTCTCTTCGGGAATGGTGCGCATACCGGCACAAATCACGGCTAATGCGATTCCAGGGAAGATATAACTATTGTTACCCTGACCGGGATAGAAGGTTTTATTGTTGTACGTCACCGGCGGGAAAGGCGAACCACTCGCAAATATGCACCTTCCCTATGTAATTAAAACGGCAGTTGATTAAATATCCAGGAATATCTACTGATGAAAAATTACATACTTCTCAGATTTACATATATATTTTAAGGCTCCCGTTTCTCTCCTATTGCAATCATATTAATTTATGATGTCGGAAATGAAAAATCATGTTTATCTCTTTTCTTGCAAAATAAATTACTTTTTTCAAGTTATATCTCACACAACTTGCATTCAATAGTATAGATCGTAAGTAAGTAAAATATACCGGCAACTCTATTTCTCCTGAATCGAACAATTCAATCTGCACGAGTCTATTCTCGGCGAAAATAGACTTTATGACATAATTAATCACGATTTATAATCATTTGATCTACGAAGAGTCTTTGGTATATTTTACCATATTCCATATTGAATCAGAATGGTATATCGAAAATTACAGAAAAAATATTTTAAGAACAATTTGCTGGACGAAAATATATATGAGAATATATCACTTTCTGACCTCCGTAGCAGTGTATGCTTCTTCAGCTGTGCATTCCGCCTTGCTCGTTGGATTGCTCAGAGCAAAGATGACAGGGGTTTCGTTGTTTTGCGCCATCTCCTTTAATATCTCGGTTGTGAAGGCACCCCGGATAGCGGCTGCGCCGATGATGACCGACGGTTTGGCTGTCTTGACGACGTCCAGCAAGGTGTCGATTGGTTTGTCGTCGCGAGCAAAATGCAATTTATGCTCCGTCAGTCCGCCCTTTGGACGATCTTTCACCAATAGTCCTTTTGAGTCCACCATCCAGATTTTACTCTTAGCTTCCTCCTCGGTCACTCCTTCCTTCTTCATCGTCATCACGCACAACGCCGCGATACCTAACGATGCCTATAAATAGTTTGTGATTATGATTCGTGCATATTACGCCTCTTGTTTCTTTTTATATTGACTTTAAAATAAATGTTTCTCGGCGCACCTCTCCGGCGCCCTGAAACACGATCGTGTTCTCCGAGAGTTTCTTTCGTGTGATGCGGAGCGACGCCAATAATCCGGCGACAGCGACGGAGGCGGTGCCCTGAATGTCATCGTTGAAGGTGCAATATTCATCGCGATACTTTCGGAGTAGCCTGAACGCGTTAACGTTGCCGAAGTCCTCGAATTGGATCAACGTATTCGGACCGTATCGCTTCACGACAGCCTTCATGAATTCGTCCAGGAAGTCGTCGTAGTCCTTTCCAGTTACGCGCTTGTGTCTGTGACCAATATACAGGGGATCGTCCAGTAACGACTGCAAGAAGAGAGAGGGAAAATATGATAGTCGACGTATATATGAATTTTATAAATTAAAAATCACAAACACACATATAGCTCATTGATGAAGGACAAGGCGAGGATATCTCGAGTCATCTGGTATTCGAAAATGCGACGTGTTTTCACGCACCTGAGTATTGGTACCGACATCCAGGGTGATAGGCAGGCACTGGTGAGGTTTGATGCCGGCCAACGCGGTGTACAATGACAGCTTCCCGATTGGGATACCCATGCCGTACGCACCCAGGTCGCCCAGTCCCAATATCCTTTCCCCGTCTGTGACGACGATCGCCCGTATGTCGTGCTCGGGCCAGTTCTTCAGGACGTCGTAGACGTGCCCTCGGTCATGGATGCTCACGAAGAGACCGCGGGGCCTGCGATAGACCAGACCGAACTTCTGACACGCCAGACCTACAGTTGGCGTATACACCAGCGGCATCATTTTACTTACGTCGTCTGCCAACAAACGGTAGAAGAGTTTCTCGTTTCTATCCTAGGAGGAACAAGACTCTATGTAAGAATCAACGTGAGAGATGAACGGGGGAGAGGGCTTGATCAAGCCGGAGACCGGAAGACCCATAATAGGCGGATCTCCGATATAATTGTCGTGTTTCACCAGTATGTACCAGTAGGCCTATGAGATATATGTATTTCGAAAGATCATCGGTGTAGCGGTCTAGGTTGAGACGGCAGAGCTCTAGCTGCTCATCTTGGGTTTTCACAGCCGCCGGTAGAAGACCGTGTATACCAAGCATCTGTCTTTCCTCGATGGTGAACGCCATACCCTATAACGAGACAATTGTTTAATTGTATATGCAATTACGCTTATGTTGTGGAAAAGAAAAATTAAATCGAAATTCACATCGCGAATATCATTCATATTTTAACTCGTATTAATCTCCTGCCTCTTTCTTAAGAATCGAAAAAAGTAAATCGAATCTCTCGTATCTATGGACATGTTAAATATATATTTCAGTTCGATCTCGCGTTTCTATCATCATGTCGAGTATATTTTTGCGAGAAAATTACCGACACGCGACATGCATGTGTCGTTATCGCCAACTATTTTCCTCATAATATATCTCGTGAATCAGAAAGATTAAGTACTCTTTACGATACAAGCCAGAGAGGCAAATTTGTTTCGCGATATCGTTAACTCTAATTTTTTTGCCTCGACAGCTTCGACTCTGACCGCTATTAAAAAGACTGACATTGCGCTGATTGTGCAATCGTAGCGTGGGTGAAAGGTGATCTGCTGATCGTCGTTCCACCTCGATTTTTACAAACTAAATTGGTCAATGTGCATGCGTGTGTCACGACAGAATCTAGTGAAAATGGAAATGATTAAGTACCTATGTGTATAGGAAAGAGAAAGAGAGAGAGAGAGAGAACATACCCTCAGGACTTGTATGATCTACATTCACTTGCAAGGATACTAATTTCCATAATGCCTGTAGCAACAGTAGTTATATAATCGAATCAGGTATAAATATTATTATACAAAAATAAATTGAGTTTCGCAAAATTAAAGAAGAAAATTAATTATACGTGCATGATTGAATCGTGATATATTTTTTAGTTTTGTTTGAACTATATGGACATAATATATGTATATACATACTATCAATATGATGATGTAATTGAATCTTACAATTAGAGGGACACTGGTCCCCCCTCCTACAATGCTTTTTAAAATGAACGTTGAGCTGTGCTAAGTAATCTTTAAACTATCGATCGCGATCAAACGTTCGCCGTCAAGCGTTACAATTATTTCATCATTAAAATTTAACAGATGCTCGCATTTCGAACGCAATCTTGTAGAGAGATTCTAGCACAAACATATTGACTGTATCAATTCCATCGCTAATGATGAAATATGAAATATATTACATAAAATCATCATTTATAAATTTTTTAAAGAAAGAATTACAAATAACAGTCGCAAAATTAAAAGTTTGATATTATGCAGAGCACGTGTCAAATTCATAAATCTCGAAATGTATTAGATCTATTAATTTTTGACGTAGCTGATACGTCCAGTTCCTCCTTAATTGCAAAACTAGTAATTGCAGGCATAATAAGAGTAATAACGTGAATTCGCAAAAAACGCACAATGATGTAATGGTATTAGTGAAACATCGACATTGTGGAGGAACGTAATTTGCAACGCAACTCGTTATCCGGCCAACTTATCTGATTGCGGTTGATGAACCGCATTGCTTGGCAATGATTCCATTACCTACAACTACCGGAAAAGTTCAACGAGTTTATGTATTATTCGTGCAAGGAGTGATAATCAAACCGGTTAGCTCTGGCATCGATAACTTGTCTATAACCTTTTCCTTCCGGTTAGATTATTTTTCAATTTTAAGGTATGATATAACCATAAAAAAATGAAAAAGATTCTTGGTCAAACTCAGATATTTCTTTGACAAAAGATTTTTTTAATAAAATATATCGCTATAAAAAAATTGACCTCGTATATAATATTATAAAATGCATTTTAAAATATTATTGTTAAAATATTATTATTATGATTGAAATCAGCAATTATACCACTAACTGATTCTTTCGGTGAGATTTCACTAATTTGCAATGCTATACGTATTTATTGAGATCATCACTGTTTTTCAGTGATAGTACACTGATTCTATTTAAAAGAATAGAGAGATATACTGACAACAAGATAAAGATATTCTCCGCGCTCTTTCCGTCATTTTCGAACTCTTTAAACCATCTAAAATCGATGTAGATATATACCTTTTCTCTCACAATTAAGATTTTTTATTGTTAAAATGCAACCAGTTCACAGATACAAAATACCCTATAAATATATTTGTTATGCGCGTGAATTTAGATACATAAAAAATAGGGAAAAAGACGATTTTGTTTCCGGAAAAAATGTTCCAGAAAAAAATGTTGCTATTCTTTTTTCGCGCGTCCGCGAATCTATTTGTACTATGTTATTATCTTCTCGATAACAATGTATATTGTCATACAGATGGTGAGCTTCAAGTGCCGTGTGATAACGTATCGCAAATGTAGCATTGTTCTTGTTTTTCTCTTGTTACATAAGATCGACCTTGGAAGAATAAGATCTCCAGAGAAACTTTGCGAAAAAAAAAAATAAAGCATTTAATTCTTTAACTTCCCTCTCAACATGAATACATGTTGTTACATAAAACACATTACTATATGTGAAGTCTCCCAACTTTTTCTGCCACATGTGTGCAATGGTATTGTCACCTTTTCAAAAATAATCTTTTTTCGAAACGACGCTGGTCGAACACCAAAGTGAATCGATCTAATTCGATGGAGAGAGGTCAGCGCACGCGATCGAGCCTGTACTTTTCCACTGGGTATGTGTGTGGGTTCGTTTCTTCCTCTCTCTCTCTCTCTTTCTCTCTCTCTCTCTCTCTCTCTCTCTCTTTTTCTCTCTCTCTCTCTCTATCTGTCTATTAATACGTATCCTAAAACGAAGATCAACTGAGATTTTATTATTATTTTATTCACAAAGAAGATTATCTTAGTGCTATTCTTTTTAGTTTCAATTGAAGTAAAATATATACAATATAACTTAATCCTATAAAATATAAAACACTTAAAAAGGTCATTATATGCATTATTTTTGAACTGTCAAAACTATAAACGATGTAATCCAAAAGGAAACAAAAATGCATTTCTCTTAAGTAATATATACAGGATGTCTCACAACCTCCGTACAATATTTTAATAGCGTATTCTAGAAGCAAAATGGAGTAAAAAATCTTAATACAGAAATATCGAGGCTACAATAGTTTTTGAGTTATAAGTGATCAAAGTTTGCCAATAATATTGCGTAGAATTCGCGTCCTCAGACTCGTAACTACATTTACACACGTATTAGTGATCTGTTATCTGTTATTGCTGACAGATAAAAAAAATAAATTGATTTCTACACACTATTAAAGTATTGTACGGAGGTTGTGAGACACCCTGTATATATACATATATATATAAAGTTATATTTACTAAAATATTATATAAAAATATTTTCATAATTAAATTATTTTAATTATGGAACAGACTTGGAATTTGTGTTATTTGATGCTAATTTGAATACGAGGCTTTAGTTTCTTTAGAAGATAAAATCTTCGCGGTATGTTTATATCTAGTGAGTAAGCTGATTATGCTGACAAGGCTATTTGCAGGAATGCGCTTCGGTATTTTCTTAGAAATACGTGGTTATTAAATAAGGTAAATTATCGCTTTCAAATTATACTCGTTCTGTTTTTACAAGATATACAAAGATCTCTTCTATTTTTATAATGCTTAAAACTTTATAATGCTTAAATATTATCTCTAGCTTATTAATATTATCTCTTATTTTTTACCATCATAATGAATAATTACTGTTATATGCTATGTAATTAATTTTATCAAAATTTAATAATTAGTCAGATTTGGAATTAGAAAATAGACAAGATGACAGAATACGAGTCAAGTTCTACACAATTAAAATTAAACAACATTGATCAAATCAGTTATGCAAGAGTTAAAATTCAAACTCTCATTTTTCGACAGTAGGCAATAAATAATAAATGAAAACAAAAAAAAAATTATAAAAACTAATACAAGATTGATATATATTGGTGCGTATCAAGATGTATCGGTCCAAAAAGAAAGTTAAGACAATCGTCGCGCAAAAAAAAAAAAGAGAAATCGTAAATTTTGGCGAGAAGAAGAAAGGCGTAACACGAAATCGCGGATTCGTGGTGCAAGTAATAATACGGAAATACCCTTCCGTCCAGAGCGAGCAGAGGTTCAGGAATGCGCGAGGCGCGATTCCAATCCGGGACGAGAGTCCACCAATCGGTCTCCATTTATCTCCGGTGCGCACTGTCACTTTTCCCTAATCATGCGGGATTTTCGCATCCCGCGACAAAACAACCGACCGTGGAAACGGTTGCCGGGGTTCTTGACTCCCGTGACGGCGACCCTATGCACGGATCGATATATGGCGCCCTATTCTTGATTTCTTGAATATAAAGTGACTCTCTCCCCATGACCTACCGCAAGGATCGTGTCGAGACCGACCGTAGCTGATAAACAATGTTGCAAATAATGTTGCCCATATGATCTAAAGATATTATTAAGCTCAGCCAAAATTTCATTTTTCTTGACTCTTTTACATTACTCGCGATCTTGTTGCGCGAAAAAAATTAAGTTAATTTTGTAAATAACGTATAAGTTACTTCATACACAAATGGTCTCGTGAAAGAAATATTAATTTCTCATTTATAATATATAATTATAATTTCTCATAATTTTTGAAATCTACACACAATTAAAAATATTATACTTTTATAAAATCGGAGTGATTAATTTTTTCTAAATATAATAATATAAATATAAACGAATTTATCTGTTTTGACGAAGAGATCAAAGTTTCTACTATTTTAATTTTACTAAAATACTTGAAAGCGACAAAAACTCATTGTCAGTTTCAAGATTTAGACTTTGTCTAAATAAATATTAAATGAGATTCCGCGATTTAAAATTGAATAATACGAAGAGAAAAAGATAAGGTTGAGGAACTTCAGGAACGTATCAAGTTGCGAAGAACACTCGACTATATATCGAGCTCCGAGATTGCGCAAGCGTGGTCAGACATTACCACAAGTAGTTTGCAGAGTCATTTAGCATTTTATTGTCGAAACGAACATATTTGCATCATATGTAATTGTTGCAACCTTTTAAGTTTAACCCAGAATATTCGCGAAACATTCATTTGGTATAAATTATTTATTGTACCGTTACCATGTTTGATTTGCGAAGCTCAGTTGACAGTTTACTCGCAATATGTCGCAACGATTACATCAATATCCATGTATTTAATGCTTTAAAATGACCCGGAATTCTCTCTGAGAGATATCGAATAAAGTTAATTTTATACTAGCTAAAAAAGCATAAAAAATATATCTAATTTTCTCTTCTAGCTTTCTTTTACGTGATCAGCTGAACAAATGAATCAATGAATGAAGAATCAATATTTTACACGAACAGTGATGTCGTATGTTTTGCTATTCAAGAGATGGAAAAGTATATATCCGCTTATCGATGATAATGAAGATATCAAAAATTTTTTTCTCTTTCTCTTTCTCTCCGGGAGCTCCTAAATGTTTCTTTTTTTTATAAAAATTAAAAACATTCATTGCTTTTCTTCATTTGCAATAACGATTTCCACACCGTACTAATTCAAGCCTCGGTTAGAACGACTCCTTTGATCGCCCGTACATAGTAATGATGCGAATAATAAACATCACGAATAGCAATTATCTCGCGGTGACTATAGCAAACGCATTTAATATGCGATATCTAACACACCTTGTTTAACTGCGGGTCCCTGATATGGTCGAGGCCGCGCAGAAGACCGGCGCAGTGCGAGTCGCCGCTTCCTCGTTGGCCTAGCTGATCGCGCTCCACGCTCGACATGGTTGACGTTTTGCTCTTGCTGCAGTCGGGCCGACTACTGCTTTGGATCCTGCGAACGAATGCCAGATATCTCTGAGAGAGTACGGACGGACGCATATAACGCAACGCAGTGCCGTCGTTGGTAGGATATAGAACATAAAACGCGACAATGACGTGATGCGTGGCGCGTCGGCGTGATCAAAGGGTAGGGGAAAATAAAGAGCGCCGCCGTACCTGCTAAAGGTGGCGACCTTTTTTTTTAACATATTATTTATTTCTTTTATTATAATCTTTCTTTTAAATATAATTGTGTTACTTATATTGTAATTATGCAACTGTACATACATACATATATATATATATAATGTTATATTATATTAAATGTAATTATGTTATTTATATTGTAATTATGCAATTACGCACATATTTTTATAAATATGCACACATACACATACACATTATTTGCATGCACTTTTTTCTTTTTTATTGTTATGTGTGCATATTTATGTGTGCATATATGTGCATATGTGTGCATATTTATAAAATATAAACATAATTGCATAATTACAATATAAATAACATAATTACATTTAAAATAACATATATATATATATATATATATATATATATATATGTTATTTACAATATTTTTATGTTATATACAATATTATATATATATATATATAATATTGTATATAACATAATTATACAACTTAATTTATATTTTATAAACATAAATAGCAAAATGATATTTTTATAACAATGTTTTGAAAAATTTTTAGATTCGTGTCTGAAATATATCAATTAGTTATTGATTGATTATGTGATAGACAGTGATGATTGCGTCGAGTGCCTACAAAATACGCGCCTGTAAAGAGGTACGATTCGGCGCACGCGCATTTATCGCGCGATCGCGCGTGTTGTGCATCTTTCGACTGACGAATGTCATCTTTAATCAATGATGAAAAATGCAATTAATCGCAAAACTCAATTTTCTACAATTGTAGAAAATCATACATCGGAACAAAGTTTAACAGAATATATCGAATCACATTTTTGTTTTCTCGCCTTAGCTATAGATCAAAGTTTAAAGTTTAATCGAATTATATCATGAATGTCATGACAAGTCATGACTGTGCATTACTATTCCAATTGGTTGCAAAATTATTGAAGCACTATGTCACACATACATAATATATATGTATATATTTTTGTAGTTATAAAAAATTTAAAAAGAAAACTGAAAAAGAATGAAATGATTAAAAAATATTCAGGAAAAATTAGAAAATGATGGAAAAATCAAGAAATATGGAATTTCCCGAAGTATATGAGATAAATAAAAAAGTGTGTAGAAACTAGTTATATTAATTATAGACATATTTAATAAGCAATGATTCTCAATGATATTATATCTACGGTGAAATCACCATAAATTACTATAGATCCCTATAAATTAATATAAAGAGATATTTATCCATATTAAATATATATACAGGGTGTAACAGAGCGCTGACAAGGGCTACAAGAATATGCAATAAAAAATAGGGATTTCCATTTAAGAAAATATCGATCACATTGACCTGGTCTTGAAAAGGTCACTTACGGTCAAGTCCATATTTTCATCATGTGGCCCCCTTCAAACCATGCAACTTTTGTCTGAAACATTTTTTCATCCGATCACTTCCCTAGTTTTTAAATGGGTGATACGGACGCTTTGTTACACCCTGTATATATAATAAATATGAGTCTATATATTTATTTATTTATTTATTTATAAATCAATTAAAATCTGTTTGATATTTTATAATGATGAAAGCAATATATTCTCTCATATAGCTTGATATGAACTGCTTATAATATTTCCAAAATTAATAAATAATTAATAAATAAGTGTTTATCCGTGTAAACCGTGAAAACACCTATATAAATAATTCTGCTAATAAGAAAATACATTACATAATAAAAGCAAAAGTTTTTTTTTCATTCATATATAAAATTCATATACAAAAATTAATTTATAATTTGCTGACTTAAGCGACATTTGAATACGGAACATTTACACTAATATCAAGTTTGCAAATGAGTCAAATTGTACGGCTCGCGCTTAACGAGAAAAATATTACCTTTGAAACGAGCGAAATTCGATGAAAAAGAGAATGACGCAAGCGTTTCGCGCATTGTTCGAATGATTGTTCGACAGAGATCGATCTGCGCCACGTGTATCGGTTTTACCTCATGCTGTTGCACAGGTGACGCTGATGACGTGAGATCTCAGACTCACGTCCAGGATCCCGGATGACATGACGCAGACCATCCGATCGGCGGCCTTGAAAGCCCATCAAACAGCAGCCGAATGGTCTCAGGAATTGTCTCGAAGACATGTTCTATAGACTAAACACTGTACTCCCCGTGTCTTATCTTCCGCGTCTGCGGGGGAGACGACTGTCGTATCTCCTCAAATACGCATGTATATAGCGCGAATTTACTATCACAAGTGTTACCAAAGAGTTATTAAACTTGCTTCTTCTAAGCAAGGGAAAAACCGATCGATACGATAGATGCCGCTTATCATTTCAGTGAGTTATCAATACGACGACACGGGTATCAAACGACTGATCGACGAAACGTGATTTTCACGCGACGTTAATTCCAAATGACATTGGCTTTTAACTTTTCAATACTAATACGCAACATCGGTCACATAAATAAAGCGTGTTTATAAAATTTAAATAGCAGTAAAAGTTGCGTTACAATGTCACAGTTTATCAAATATTGATCTACGAAAACGTTAAAAATTAAATTGCTGTCTTTCTCTCTCTCTTTCTCTCTCTCTCTCTCCCCTCCCTCTCTCCCCCCTCCCTCTCTCTCCCCTCTCTCTCTCTTTCTCCCTCCCCTCCCTCCCTCTCTGTCTTTCTCTTTCTCATATATAATTTTAGAAAATAACAGAAAGTTCGCGGAGAGAGAACGCAGAGATAACGAAGATTTATCTTCTTCGAATAGCCTAAATGATTTAATCTCAAGCTAATATATTATGTATACATAATTCTAAATGACGCAATTCTCTTCAAGTCGTTCGAAAATTAGTTACTGAGTTATTGGAATTAGTTATTGATTAAGATTGTGTAATTTAGAGAGAGAGAGCGTTAAAAAGATATTTGTCATTTCTTATGCTAAAAGTTTTATTTGTATAACTTAAATCAATAATAATCAAGATGTTAGTTACGCCAAGATTGTATATGCCATATTACAACACGTACCAATATTTATTTTCACAAATGACTTTGTACTTTCTTTTATTGACACGTATGTTAAAATCGTATTTATGATCAGGAAAATAAATCCGTTGCTGTCTTAAATCGAATCAATGGAAATGTCACCGATTAAAGGAGTAACCATAATATTTCACCGAATATCAGTGAGTATTTGATCTTTAGTGAAAACACTCATATTATGTCTTACTGATTATGGCAGTACAAAATTTCACTTAAAAATCTATAATAATAATAAATATTTGCAAAATGTAGTTTTTAAAGTTTTCCAATTTGTTTCGGATTTCTTTTTTTTTAGAAAAAGTTTCCACACACACATGTATAGAATAAACGTATAACTAGTATTTAAATCCAGAATTATTGTATATATATTACATATTTTTACTCTTAAGATGTGATAAAAAATAAATAAAATTGTTGATCAATCTCAGATATTTTTTAAATAAAATATATATAAATTTATCTTATAAAACGTATTTTAAATCATTACTAATTGAAACAGCCGCTATCATAATTGATTCTTTCATTGAGATTTCACTGATTTGTAATATATACTTATAACTGAAATCATCAGTGACTATTCACTGGTTTTTAATGATAATATACTGATTCTATTTAAACGAATACATAATAAAGAGAGATACAAACGAGAATAAATCCGTGTCGAATTTTGCTCCTATTTCCAACTTTAATTTTCTTACGTTTATAGATTTTAGAGAATTTCGATAAATTTAATTTCTATCAAAATTAAACTATTATACTTTGTTTCAAATAGATAGTAAATGCGAACAGTTTCTCAGTTAGAGATTTAAAAAATGAGTTTTTGACAAAAAGATACGTTAAATAGTTTCAAAACTAATTAATGTAAATAGCTTAAAGTGTCAATGACGTTAAATTAAAAATTGAGATCACGGAAGTAAAAGAAACATTTCGACTCGGGAAGACTTACATCCTGCCGTTTTGATGGCCGTTTTGGTGATTATCTTTCGAGTTCCCGTTGCCCATCGTTGACGAATCGACCGAGACACTTAAGCGACTAATTGGATAAATTCACGTTGCAATCTATCTCGATCTCGCGTATCGATAACGAACAATTCATCACTTCCCTGTGTTAATCGGTCGCGCGAAGATAACGTCGTATTTTTCGCTATATCAGAAGTAAATAAGACTTCTCTAAAGGAAACACAAGCCGTCAGCTTTTCTCGTCGGTGAAATCGAAGTGTTCCCGATCGCGCGAGCGGATCGCGAATGCGAACCGCCAAGAGAATGCAGTGCTCGCTCGTTTCGATACACAGCCTTCGCTCTAATTAGTTAGGCCCCCTGTAATTCGGTCACGAGAGAAAATCGTACATCCGGCGAGACGAATGGCACGTTTCCGACATGTACAAAAAATTTCTTTTAACGTGACCACCCGTTAAACTAAGCACTTCGATATCGCCCCCGGCGATGTTTGCATTAATCGACCGAGATCTTTAGGATCTCGTAAGGATATTTTATTATTCGCGTACTTACGCGCGTGCGAAATGTCCTGTGTCGTGCGCAAAGAAAGATGACTTCGCGCTGCTGGAAAAAAAAAGAAACAAACTCAGTTGTGAAAAAAAAAAAAATTAATTTTCACTACGCTTGTGATATTTTACCTAAGGAGGTAGCTCCTCGCCAGAGATCTCTCCCAGATCGCAGCAAGTAAGCACTTTTTGACAGGCATTCATCGGCATTGACACGTTACGTACTCTGAATATTGTTATTTAATCGCCTCTTGTGACAAACGAATAGCAATATCATGGCGTAAAAAGAAAAAATTCTTATAGGTGATTGACATTTAATGTCTCGTGTGATATGAGGATTTTTCTACGCAAATTTCAATATGGATAAAAACATTAGAAGCCGAAGTTTCCTCGCTGTGAAAGAAAGATTGAAATTTGTAACGATGTTTTATTTGTTATGTGAATTTTGCATAATCAATTAGCTATTCCAGAGAATATATGACTCTAACAAATTTCTGTGCCAATCGAAACTTTTTCTTTGACTCGAAAAATTTTCTTCTTCAAAGTACCGTGTGCATTGATAATTTTAGATGCAAACTATTTCTATAGATGAATTATTTCTATCTTAATTCTATTTCTTCTATTATTCTTTTTTTGTTTAAAAATATAATTAATTTTAAATGAAAAATACATATTGAATTTGATTCTTTATTCACTATTAGAATTAAAATTAATAATTTGTAGAATTATTATTTGTTATAAGGATTTTAAATCCTTGTGTGTGTTCGTGAAAAGAAACTTATGAACACTGGCACCTTCATTGCGAAAGTTTTCTCCCTACTTCTTTAATTATTTTTTAACGGCAAAGTGAACACGTAACAAAGTGAAAGTCATAATATATTATGATGTACGATGTAGATTTCCAGAAACAGAGAGCGAAATAATAGTGTTTACGGTTCCCTTCGTGTATAAAATCATTTGCCCTCAAATTATAATTTATGCAAATTTAAAAAAAAATGAAAATGTAGAATAATAAAATGCGCATTGTTCAAATATAGAAATTGTCATCTCTTATATACAATTTTTGCTTTCATCTCATTTCTGTTATAAATAAATAGAAAAAATTTTACTGTATATTATCTACACTTGACAATATAATATATATTTATATAGCAAAACTACATTCAAATGCGTCATCAAATGTTATATTCATGCACACAGGACTTTTATATATTCTAATATTAATAGTTTAATCAATATAATTTTATATATATATATA